ATATAAAATATAAATATAAAAATAAAACTTTAAACTTTTTGATATAGAAAAAAAATCTTCATAACCTCAGCTTAGAAAGTTTCCTTAAGCAAGATACAAAAAATATAACATGTATAGGAAAATAATTGTCAAATGTGACTATAGAATAACCCCTTTATACCTCAAAAATAACTAGGAACAATGTTAAAAGACAAAGAATTAGCATTCAGAACATACAAAGAACATTTACAAATCAAAAAGAAAGATAATCCAATAAAGAAATGGGCAACAGATGTAAACAGGTAATTCACAGAGAAAGAAACCCCCATATCCTATATATACATATACATATATATATACTCTGTATATACACACACACACACACACACACACACAAATATAACTTAACTTTATTAGTAATCAGGGAAATGGAAATGAGAAGCCATTTTACATCATCAAATTGGCAAAAATTTTTAAAGCTCCACAATTAAGGATATGGAGAAAAGAAAGTTCTCATATACAAATGTTGGGAATATAAACTGGTACAATGACTTTGGTGATCTGGCAATCTCTAGCAAACCTGGTGATGTCCTCCCCCACCGGTCAAACACATATGTGGAAACTCTCACACGTGTGCACAAGCAGCAGCCATGGAAGAGTGTTCACAGCACACTGTTTATACAATGAAAAGCTAAAAATGGCCAAAATGTCCATCACCTAAAGAATAAATAATGTGGGAATTATAAATACCAATTTGAAGATATTGATTACCTCTGTGGGATAGGGAAGGAGGTGTGAGGGGGAAGGGACACACAGGGGGCTTCACTGTATTTGTAATGTTGTATTTCTAAAGCTAGAGGCCAGGTGCATAGGTGTGTATCAATCTCGGATCCTATTCATGTGTCTGAAAGATGTCATAAATGTTAAATGTGTATTTTAAAAAGCGAAAACAATAAACTCCAGCTAAGCTCCAAAGAGGAACTCAAAAGTTATGACTCAAAAAGAAGTTTAAGGGCTTAGGTTCTTCATCACGAAGATGTCCTTCACCTGGGGTTACAATCCCAGTTTGACCCCATACCCGGAGATTCTGCCTCAGAGATGAGTCTTTGTTTTGCTGACATAGGGAACAGATTAAAATCAAAACAAAGCAATAACATATAATTTAAAAAGCTAAAAAGCAAAGGGCTGTAATGAATGCTAATGGAAAAACAGGAGAAATAAGTGAAAACAGGAAACAGTTCACTACTGGTACCATATTTCGTGGCTGTCCTCCTACCACGTGGGCCACCCAAGTATTGAGTTCCATCATATTGAAAAATAATATATTATGATTTCTAAGGCGTTTAAGTCCTCATAGCACAACATACAGTTGTCCTCATTTCCTGGTGCATTTCACATGAATAAACATCTTTGTCAACAACGTAACAACTGCTGATGTCAAACTATCCCAAATTTGCTTAAAAAAAACAAACTCATAATGGATGAACACAAAGCTAAGACAGGGAAACAATGTTCCTTCAGTTTTCTTCCCACAGCATTCCCTGTTCCAGTTCCAGGTCTCCCTTGGAAATATCCAGCAAGGGCAAAGGGCTTGCCAGCCCAAGCCAAAGGCAGGAATCCAGCATTCTCTAGGCCACAGGGTACCTGGGAAAAATCTGTCAACAGGCACCGGGAATTTTTATTATCAAGCTTTTTGTTATTGAGTTACTGTCAATACATTCCCTAGCTCGATAATAAAGCTGCTTTTCAATGGTCCTGCACTTTGAAGTCCACAAACTTAATGAAAGGAAACAAAATCAATTTAACCCATTTTATTCAAAGAACCATTTTATTACATTATTTTATTTCCTGCTCTATGTTGACATATTTTCTAAAGCGTGTTTCCTGCTGTGCAATTTTCAGTGTTGCTTTTAAAAATAGTGTTCTAGATGGATTTCCTATTTTTGCTATTGTTTCTGCCTTTTTCTTTGTTTTTAAGAGATTCAGTTCCAGTTTTCTCTTCTTTTATTGTAGCCAATTTCACTTTTAGCTATTTTATAACATATTCATTTCTTCACTTGATAACCAAACACTCCACATTCTGATGAGACATGTTTGTAATAATATTTATCACAAGTTCAGCTAGAGTTATGCTTTTAAATAATCACAAGGATTCTTAGTGTCCTTGTTAGCTGACTGAAATTAAAATGTACTATCCCAATTTGGGGGGGTTTAGGAGTTACTGCCTGTAAAAGCTTCAGCCTTTAGAGAGTATATTTTCTCCAGGCACTCTATTTGCAACTCTTACTAAATTATCTGGTTGCCTGGATATCCTCTTCACTTAGATGGAAGAAAGTTGACAAATTGCTCTTTCTCATAATCTCAAATCTAGCACTCACAAATAGAGTAATTGGTATACAGACTCTTTGATGACTGGCTCTGCTCTTTGGAAAGCACGTTATCAACACTTCAGCATTTTCTTTTTTAAAAAAAGGTTAGATTTATTCCTCTTGTGACCCTGTCCCACTAATAAATAAATAAACAAAACAAATTGTAGAATATTCAACAAATAAAATTCTATGTCTATTAGTGCTTAAGAATTTTTTACAAAGGGCCTTGAATAAATTACAAAAGAATCCTGGGATCCCATAATTACAATCGGATTGAAAAGGAGTTGCTCTTTGGCCCTGCTAATCCAGGGCCAAGTCACTGCTGCCGAATCATCAAAGCCAAGTTAACAGTGGAATGCTGCATCCCTAACTGAAAGGTGTACAGGTGGAAGCAAGTTTAAACAATCTCAATTTTTCTCTTTGCTAAATGACAGAATCTAGCCAGTTGAGGATTTATCCTTTTGAAAAACCAGTTAATCTGCATTCTGGGAATTTGTTCCAATTCACAGTTCAGTTTTCACTGCACTTCATTCTGTCAGTGATTCTTTTGACACAGAAGTAGATGCAAGGCCTGGTGAGCTGACTAACTACAGGATGTCCCAAAAGTTGCCATAAATAGGGAAAATGGGAAATTGTACCTAACTGTACCTTTATTTACAAAATATCCATTACACAATTTTACAAAATGTTTCCTTTGTATGGAGACTACAAAGGTTATTATCAATGCAGCTTGTGCTGTTAATGTCAAACCAGCCTTGAACCTGTAAACCCAAATTAATCAACAGTATTACGCTGGTAACAGTTAGGCAATCATACATTTAATTATTAACTCATGCTTCCAGCTGCGGAAATCAACCCAGGGCTGAAATCAAAAGCAGGTAGCAACTTTTAAAAAATACAGGTTCCTAACTTGCCTTAAGATGCTGATTCAGAAGACCTGGAGTAGGGCCCAAGCAGCTGTATTTTGAAAAAATTTTCACAGTGATTCTGATGCAATAGGGGTAGAGACTGTCACACAGATATTGATATAAACAGTAAGCTTATATGTTTCACAAACAGCGACAGGAGGTACTGTGCCAAGCATTATTCAAAACACACAAAGAACATTTTGCATCTTTCTGGAATGTCAATTTTCTTGACAAGTAAACAGTTTGAAATGTCATTTTTGTTTTGAGTGGTGGTTACATAGGTATACATAACTGTCAAAACTCATCTAACTGCCACTTAAGATCTGTACATTTAATTGTATGTTTATTATACCTCAATAAGTAAAATGCTATTTTTAAATTAAAATATGGGGCTATTTTTAAATTAAAATATTAAAATGTTTAAATTAAACATTCTGGTGTAGAATGCAAAACCTACATTTAAGATAAACTCTGAAACTTCAAAGAAATTTCCATCTTAGAGAGGCCCCTATATCCAGGGAAGCAACAGTTTTACTCTCTTTTTTGCTTGGGGTAGGATGAAGTGTTGAAATAGAGGGGAAGACCTTTTGGAAGGGCCCAGGACTATAGTGTGAAAATGTCTGGGTTTAGAAATCTTTTCACTTCCAATGCTTCTCATTCGTTTCACTACTCATGACTGCTCCCCTCTCTTCTTGTCCCTTTACCATCCACCTATCACTGGTCTTTTTGCTTAACACATGAAATTCTCAAAAATTAAAGCTCCGCTTTTTGTTATGATTGAAGATTTTATGTTTATTGTTACTGAGCAGATAGATCTATGAGCAGATAGGTCTAATGACTCTGAGTTGGTAATCTTAGAAATCCCACATTGCAAGCATGTTTGTCACTCAAAATGTTTTAAAATGCTGTGGGGTGCAGCGGATGGTTGTTTCTAGGCAGGGACTGAATCCAAGAATTATGAAAAGCCACACTTCCTGACTTTGGGAAGATAATAATGGAGAGTAACGTGGCTTAAGCAGCAAAGACTGGAGAACATAGCGCTCAAAACTAAGTAGGTTCCAAGGATTGTGACCCAAGGGCTCAACAGTGTGAATATGAAACAGGATTCGGAGTCTGAGGCACGGCCTGGATCGAAGGACTCTGGGTAAACTACTTTATCTCTAGCTGGGAAGCTCCGTGCCTTCAAATACAAAACGGAGGTAAAGAGCACACCTCCGCTTACGGGCTTAAGTAACATGCGCTACCATGATTACGGAGTGCAAAGCCACGAAGTCATGGACGTGTCAACCACAATGCGCGTAAGTGAAAGCCTAGAAAACAGGACGCGGCAACACAACATCCCCCCAGGGCGACTTGGCTCTACGCCGTGCGCGCTCCAGTCCCCGGGGAGGCGGGACGGGGCGGGGCCGGGATCGCACACCGCGCCACGCCCCCTCCCGCGCCGGCTCCTAGCTCGCCGCCCACCTTGACTGTGCGCATGCGCCACTCGCCCTGGCCGTCCCGAAAACTCCAGAGAGAGTCCGGGACAATGGCGAGAGGCCTCCGAGGTTCGGCTTCTTACCTGCTCGGCATAGGCCGGGGACTCCCGCTGGTCCCACCTCCTTCTGGCACTCTGACCCCGCGAGTGGAGGAGCCGGGCACAGGGCACGGTTCCGATTGGAGAACGGGCGTGCTTACATGCTCCCCTCTCCCCAGGCGCGCACGGAGTGAGCCCCGCCTCTTTGAAGCGGTTGGGGGCCCGCCTCCTGTCGGTCAGAGGCGGGCGGGCGTCTTCCAGTTGGTTTTGCCAGGTCTCAGTGTCAGCTCCGCTGTCAGCTGCGAAAGTGCCTTGGCCTTTTAGGTGGAAGATGCCGGAAAGCAACGTCGCAGAGCCCAGCGACAGAAATGAGGGAGAGGTGTCTGGTGCTAAAGTCATCGCCCAGGCCCTGAAAACGCAAGTACGGCCGACCTTCCTGAGGAGAAAGGCTCCTACGGAAGCCGGCGGGGACCGATGTGTTGTCTTGGAGACAAGACACTGTTCTAGGAGTAGAACCGGGGGATGGCGGGAAGGGGGAAGGAAGGTTTTGTGGGAGATTTTCTTTTAGCGCGCCGAAGGGAGGGAAGGATGTGGCGATGTTTCTTCCCCTGTTCTTTGTCCCCCAGGGTGTGGAGTACATGTTTGGCATTGTAGGCATCCCAGTAACCGAAATCGCCTTTGCTGCCCAGGAGCTGGGCATCAGGTACATCGGGATGAGGAATGAGCAAGCGGTGAGTGTGGATGCAGGTAGCCGAATGCATTACTGGGAATCATCAATGACAGTGGCAGATATTCATTGCAAACACTCGTGCTTACCACTATTCGAGTGCTTTACACATGTCAGTCACTGTTGATTATTGTTAACTGTTGTTGTTCCTGGTTGACACGTGAGAAAAGTGAGACACAAGTTAAGTAAAACTTGCCTGAGATGATGCAGCTAGCAGTGGCATAGCCAGGATTCGAACCCAGGTATTCTGGGTATGAGTTCATGCTCTTACTACTATACTATATTGTGCTGGTGATGGATATCACATATGATAAAGTTGTGATTGAAACTCAGATGTCCCAAATCCTAGTTTAGTGCTCTTTCCATCACATCATGCTGCCACCTTTCTTAGAGGCATATTTGGAGACAGGGAAAGGAAGGTATGACATTTTATCCCACTTTCAGTACATCCTCTGCCAACCCACTTCTCACTCTTGTCTCAGCAATGCTGGCTTAAAAGATCAAGAATCCACTTCTGTCAGTCTGTCTAAGGCTAATATTCCTGCTTTACACTCTCAACTATTGCCCTCTAATTTAGGCTCTTAACCCCTTTTGCCCAGGCAACTGCCTTGGCCCCCTTACATGGTACCCTTCCTCTGCTGTCAGATATGAACTCCTGGAGAGCAGAAATTATGGCTCATTTGTTATCATATCTCCACAGTGCCTGGCTTGGTTGGGACTTTTGCATGATGTAGATACTTAATACATTATTTATTAATTGAATGACATTCTTTATCTATAAGACCTGAGATTTGTAATTTTTTTTAATCTTAAAATGAACAGGTCTTGAGTTTGTGTTGCTTCTACCCTTTACTTAGTTGGAACAACATTGTTTTCTTTCATCTGTGTGAGAAGATGACACTACTGACCTATTATTGGGACCTATATTTTATTGTTTTCCAGAGGTCACATGTCTGCCACTGATTTCTTCTTCAAACAGCAAACATTTATGGAGTGTATGCTATACACTAAGCATTATGCTCCATAACCTGTGAGAGAAAGAGATATAAAGAAGGAATGAGGTTTAGTCTTGACTTTCAAGTCAATCACAGTCTAAGAAGGTTAGGGCAAAACATACAGAAAAAAACTTAGTATAACTCTCACAGTAGACGTACCTATAAGGAATAGTAGTAGCACAGAGGAAATGACTGGTTCTCTTTGAGTAGGACAGGGAAGATTGCTTGTAGAGGTAATGTTAGTTTATACTATTCTATCAAGATTTTTTTTGAGACAGAGTATCACTCTGTTGCCTGGGCTAGAGTGCCGTGGCATCAGCCTAGCTCACAGCAACCTCAAACTCCTGGGCTTAAGCAATCCTTCTGCCTCAGCCTCCCAAGAAGCTGGGACTACAGGTATGCACCACCATGTCCAGCTAATTTTTTCTATTTTTAGTTGTTTGGCTAATTTTCTTCCTATTTATAGTAGAGACGGGGTCTCGTTCTTGCTCAGGCTGGTCTTGAACTCCTGAGCTCAAGCAATCCTCCCACCTCGGCCTCCCAGAGTGCTAGGATTACAAGTGTGAGCCACCACACCCAGCCTCAAGATTATTAAAGGCATGGTGGGCTGTGAGCCTGGTAGGTAGGCTGAGGGGAGGTGGGGAGAATCCTTTCTAACTAGAAAAGGAATTTGTACTTTTTCCAATAGGCAATGAGGGAGACTGTAAAGGTTTTTCTAAATAGGTCGGAGGCATAAGTAGGTTTGTACTTCAGAAAGATGATGCCAGGTGCAGTGGCATGTGCCTTGTAGTCTCAGCTACATAGAATGCTGGGGTAGGAGGATTGCTGGAGCCCAGGACTTTGAGGCCAGCCTGGGCAATATAGCGAGACCCTGTCTCTTAAAAAAAAATAAAAAAAGAAAGGTGATATTTATTCATGAGTATGGAGCAGCAGGTAGGAGCCAGAAGACAGACTCTAGATTGAAATTTTATTTCAGTCCCTATAAACTTAGTTGAGGTTTCTTTAGGTCCCTTGTGGTGTGTGTTGGTTGCTGGATACAGAGATTGATGATAATCATTACCTAGCTTTGAGGGGCTTATAATCTAGCTATGGACAGAAACAGTCTTATTATAATGTGATAAGTGCTGTGAGAAAGATATATTCAGAGTGTTGTGAAAGCTTAAGACTTCATGGAAAGCTTCCCACAGGAGGTGATATCTGAGCTGTCTTGAAGGCTCACTAGGCATTAACCAGCTAGGAAGAAGACAGGCTCTTCCTAAGTTTGAGGCTTGCTTGACTGACTATGTTGATCATAGTCTCTCTGACCAAGATTGGGATTACAGAGAGAAGAGCCAATTTGGAGGGGAAAGGTGATGAGTTCAATTTTGGACATATGCATTTGAGGTGCCTCTGGGACATCTCAGTACATATTTCCCTCAGGCAGCCTGAATTTTTGTAGTAGTCAAAAGATGACTTAAATAGTGCCTGAACTAAGGGTAGTGACGGGATGATTCAGAGGGAATATGAGAACAAGCTAAGGCATTCTAAGGCATTTCTACGAAAGAGAAAGGTACAGTTAGGTGTGACTTGATTGTCTTTCATCAGATTCTTAGAGTAATTGAGACATATATTGACCAGCTTTCAATAACTGTTAACTTTCTGACAATCTGCCTACTTGCTGGCCAAGTACAGGTGCTATTCTGAGTGTTTCACATGTATGAACCAGTTTCACCCTCATAGTAATACTTTGAATTATGTTCATTTTATAGATCAAGAAGCCAAGGTACAGAGTGTGTTGCCAAAATTACACAATAGAAAGTAGGGGAGCTGGAATTGGAATCAAAACAGACTGGCTCCAGAGCCTGCTCTCTTAAGTTCTCTGTATACTGTTCTGCCTGTGAGTGTAGGTAATTTGGTAGAGAAACAGATTTTTTATGGTTATACAACCGGTTACCTCTCATCTTTTGATACCTACTATGCTTTTTGTTATATGTTGTTTTATGTTTTGCACTGCATAGTAACATTTCTTACCCAGCTCTCATAAGGGGGCAATGCTTCTCAATGTCTAAATAAGTATTCCTTTTATTTTTATTTTTTTGAGACAGGGTCTTGCTCTGTTACCCAGGCAGTGATGTCATCATAGCTCATTGCAACCTCAGACTCCTAGACTCAAGCAGTCCTCCTGTGTGAGCCTCCTGAGTGGCTGGGACTACAGGTGCATGCCACCATACCCAGCTAATTTTACTATGTTTTGTAGAGATATGATCTCTCTCTTGCTCAGGCTGGTCTTGGAACTCCTGGCCTCAGATGATTCTCCTGTTTTAGTCTCCCAAAGTGCTAGGCTTATAGGCGTGAGCCACAGTGCCTGACCAAAATAGCATTCTTATTGCAGTAGGGACTTTGTTTTATGTACTCTCATTTCTTAAGAGTTGTCTTATTATTGTCCCACGTGAATTTGGCCTTATGTGGAAAACAGAAAAGAGACAGGGCCAGTAAAGAATAGCAAAACAGAAAAAGAGCAGAGCCTTTGTGTAGCTTCTTAGTAGGTATATGATAGTGGAGCCAGTTAAGATTATGATTCATAAATATTTATTTTTTGCATGTATGTCCTTACATCCTTAACGAAGATTTATTTTAGATCAGTATACTACTTCATTTAAAGCTGATTGAAGGCTAGAAAATACCCAATTGTTATTTCTAAAGAAATGAGAAGAAATAATGCTGAAAAAAATACTATCCCAGACTAAGAAGAATTTGAGAGAATACCCAGCATTTTCCAGGTTATCTTGTATGTATTTAGTTTAATTTAGCATTTCTTCTTTATTCCTGATTATGAGCTGAAGTGCCTTTAAAAAGTAAAACTAACCATAGTCAGGCCATAATGGAAATCTCAAAGAATCACTAAGGATTGAACATGTATACTGTATGTAACCTGAGCATATGGAATGAACTAGAACCCAGTAACAGAAAGATCTCTAAAAAATCCCAAATATTTGAAAATTAAGCAACACAATTGTTGGTATTTTGTAAATATTTGAGAAGATTAATAAAATCAGTAACCTTCAAGCTAGACTGATCAAGAATAAATGAGAAAACACAGATTACCAATATCAGGAATAAGAAAGAAGATATTGATCACTACAGACTGTAGTTAATTGATGGGTTGAAGAAGAAATCACCATAGAATATAGAGAACATTTCGAGTTGAATGACAATGAAAAGATGAGATATCAAACTTGTAGCATATAACTAAAGCAGTTCTTAGAGGGAATAGCTTTAAATGAATCTATTAATGAAGATCAAAAACCAGTGCTCTAAGCTGGTACTTCAAGAAGCTAGAAAAAGAAAAATCAAACTCAGATGAAAGGAATGAAATAGTAAATATAAGAACAGAAATCAATGAAATAGAAACAATAGAGGAAAACAAACAAAGCCAAAAATTGGTTCTTTGAAAAGATTAATAAATTTGATAAACTCATGAAACTGAAGAATAAAAGAAAGAAGGCATAAATTACCAATATCAGTGTTAAAAAGGGGACATTTCTATTGATCCTGCAGACAATTGTAAGAGGATATTATGAATAACATGGATATGAAGAAATTTCTTTAAAAACTAAAAATTAGATACCTAAGCTATTATTTGAAATTTATGGGCAGAACATTTCTTGTTAAAATGGGAAATGTTCCAATTTCTTCTTTACCTTATCTTAATAGTAAATTATTCTCATACATGTACTATAAGGATCCCAATGTGCTTAAGTCCCAGTGTTCTTTCTTTGTAGGCTTGTTATGCTGCCTCCGCGATTGGATATCTGACAGGCAGGTAAATTGCAGTCTGTTTTATTTCAATTACTTTGATATTTTTGGGAAGAATTATTATATATTTCAAATGAAGGATTAGTTGATTTGAAAATAATATAGAAGATGGTATTAATAAAGAAAAATAAAGAAATTTATAAATTTCTACGGGTCAGATCAAAAGGATGGTAATACCAGAAAAGTGTTTTAGGGTGGAACACGTTGCCATTTTGCAGCGTGAATCACTGTTGATCAGATAGTGAGTTGACATCATATCATGTCTTGGATCTTGCAACTTTACCCAAGCACACTCAGTACAAAAATGCTTGATCCAAAAATGTGATTATTGGGGCTTGTTCCACTTGTTCAGATTTTTTATTGTATATCTGTGTTACCTAACTACTCACTCCTCTTTTAGTATTAAAAATTAATATATTTTTTTTAAATGCCCATTTTAGAAAACTTGGAAAATATAGACAAGTATAAAGAAGAAAACTAAAATTACCTATGATCCCACAACTATTGAGAATTTGTCATATTTTCTTCTGTTTTTTCCCTACATACACATGTATTTTTTAAGCAAAATTTGTACTCCCCTTGTACTTTATATCATACCCTTTCACTTATGTTAACTTTAGTACATTTTGTAACTTCTAAAACTGAAATTAGTAATTAAAGTGCTAAGAAGTATAAACTAATAAGGTCTTAAAGTCTAGACCTCACTGAAGTAGTCCTTCTTATCTAATAGGAACCTTCTGAATTTGAGCCTGAGGAAAATAGGCCATCCAAATTACACTATCGGCTGGGCATGGTGGCTCATGCCCGTAATCCTAGCACTCTGGGAGGCTGAGGCGGGCGGATCGCTCGAGGTCAGGAGTTCGAGACCAGCCTGAGCAAGAGCGAGACCCCCGTCTCTACTATAAATAGAAATAAATTAATTGGCCAACTAAAAATATATATAGAAAAATGAGCTGGGCATGGTGGCGCATGCCTATAGTCCCAGCTACTGGGGAGGCTGAGGCAGGAGGATTGCTTGAGCCCAGGAGTTTGAGGTTGCTGTGAGCTAGCCTGACGCCATGGCACTCACTGTAGCCTGGACAACAAAGTGAGACTCTGTCTCAATAAAACAGAAAACAAAAACAAATAACACTATCTTCACCATTTTCTGTCATTTTATTTACATATGCAAAATATTGTAATCTTTTTGTTTAGCCTGAAAAACATTTAAATTATAGTCATCGACACCTTAATTTTGAAAATGCTAGAATGATTAGAGAAAACACAAAAGTTCATACTTTTAAAACATGTTACTATTTGAATGAATTTGTGGAACTATACTGTCTAATATAGTAGCCACTAGCTGTATATGGCCATGTACATTTAGAATAATTAAGATTAAACTATATTTAACTAAACATTTAAACTATTGTTTTTCAGTTGGAGTAGACACATTTCAAGTGCTCAGTAACCACATGTAGGTAGTGGCTATAATATCAGACTATGCAGATATAAAACATTTGTATTATATAAACATTTGTATTATATGTATACAGAAAGTTCTGTGGGATAGTACTGCTAGAAGTTTAGTTTACTTGGTGATAATTAAGTTATTTTAAAGTCTGTCTTAAGCAGAGATTTTTGAGAAATTACTTTATAAATATAAAATGGCAAACTGAATTGTATGGAAGATACCTTTTCCATGAGTGCTTTAAGCTTAGAAAGTAAAGTCTAGGGTAAAGCATCCAAGTTCAATTTTAAAATATTTTGGGCAGAGCACTACATTCAGAATTCCTTTTCTGTCAAAAATTAATTGCCATAATATTTATTAAGAAATGAAAAAGACTTTTTTATATGAAAATGTACTCATTTTGCTTCTGTATGCAGTCACCTGATTTCACCCAAATATAGGAGCAAAAGAAGAGGTTAGTGGAATACAATGTGAAGATGATAGGTACCTTATTTCTTGCAAGAAGATTGATACAATCTTTCTCTTTTTTATATCAAAAATATTCTAATAATTATTTTTTTAATTATAGTAAAGAATATATGTCCTTCCTTTGAAGTCCAAGAAGGTTGCCATGTTTCACCCTAAAGTAGTATGAATCAGTTGTTACATTTGACCTGTTTTTAATAAAATAAATTCCGTTTTACTTGTAGGCCAGGAGTATGCCTTGTTGTTTCTGGCCCAGGTCTTATCCATGCCTTAGGTGGTATGGCGAATGCAAACATGAACTGTTGGTAAGCAAATTATTATTTTCTCAAAAATATTTTCTTAAAAATGTCACTGCATGATTTTACTGAGCTGCGATGGAAAGACTTGGAAAAAAAAATTTGAATTCATAGTAAGTAAAAAGGTAGTTACTATGGGAGGGGAGCAGGGATAGAGAAGGGAAATAGGGAGTAGGAAGTCAAAGGGTACAGTTTTAGTTATGTGGGATAAATAGTCCTAGAGATCTAATGTATAGCATGAGGAATATTGTTATTAATGTTATATTGTATACTAGATTTGCTAAGAGAGTAGATTTCAGGTACTTTCACCACACAAAAAAAGTAACTGTGAGATGATATGTTAATTTGCTTGACTGTGCTAATCATTTTACTATGTATGTGTATATCAGAACGTCATGTTGTATACCTTAAATATATACAAGAAAAATAAAGTATTAGGAAGAAAATAAAAAACACCAATAATTCCTTTACTTAGAGATAAACACTGTTAACATTTTAGAGTTTCCTTATGTATAATACATATGTGTATATATGTGTATGTATATGTGTGTGTTTATGTGAATGTGTATATAGTTCTGTTTACTTAAGTGAAAGATTATTTTTTAAAAATCCCAGCTCAGTATGTAAAATATGCCTAATTTTTCACCTTGTTTTGTATGGTTAGCAAGACGATTGAGATTCTTATATTTATTGAGTTTACTTTATAAACTGCTTATTCTCTAACCCTGCCATTAACCTATCCCTGGTACTTTACTAGTAAGGTCAGGTTGAAGGAGGTTATGTTCTAATCAGTTTGTATTATAATCTTCCTAGTGTGAGGGACATTGTTTATATTCTTACCCTGTGTTCCTTTTTTTTTCTTATATGCTAATTGTTCCAATTTTAGTGTATGTGCTGTCGAAGTGAGCACTCACCCTGTGTTTCTAGTAGTTCCTTCTTTTCTTCCTTTCTTCCTAGTCTTTCTCTCCCTTATCTACATTATGGTCTGATACTTATTTTTAAACTAATCTCATGACAAATTATGGTCTGATATTTTTGAGTACCTTAAGTTTTGCTGTATCTTTTTTTTTTTTTTAGTTTGAAGGATAAGAATTTTATTGTTGAGAAATGTCACACATTCTGCCATTTTCAAATAGACTCACTTAGGAAAGTGTAAATTTTCTCTTTATCCCAAGAATAATAGGAAAGGTGTAAAAATTCATTTTATGTCACTACACCTAAAAGTTTAGCATCAACATTTAAAAGGGGCCGGGGGGGGGGGAACATATACAAATACAAATTTTGTATTTTTCTGAAATTGAGGAAGGGTTCTTTCACATCAGGTTGCTTCCTAAATATTTTTTAATCTGCAGTTTTAAAGGGAAAATATAATATTCTTTCTCCCTCCCTCTTTTTCTTTTTACCATTTATTGTTTGTTATGCATTGAACACTCTGCTGAGTGTTTCACATGATGATTTCATTTGTAATTATCTTTTTAAAAAATGGCTGTTTCAGGCCCTTGCTTGTGATTGGTGGTTCCTCTGAAAGAAATCAAGAAACGATGGGAGCTTTCCAGGAGTTTCCTCAGGTATCCAACTCCTAAGATTTTAGTAGCACAGTTACACACCATTAAGAATTCAGGAAAAGTTGGCCGGGTATGGTGGCTCATGCATGTAATCCTACCACTCTGGGAGGCCAAGGCAGGAGGATTGCTTGAGCTCAGAAGTTTGAGACCAGCCTGAGCAAGAACAAGACCCCATCTCTACTATAAATGGAAAGAAATTAGCCAAACAACTAAAAATAGAAAAAATTAGATGGGCACAGCGGTACATGCCTATAGTCCCAGCTACCCAGGAGTCTGAGGCAGGAGGATCGCTTGAGCCCAGGAGTTTGAGGTTGCTGTGAGCTAGGCTGATGCCACGGCACTCTAGCCCAGGCAACAGAGTGAGACTCTGTCTCAAAAAAGAAAAAAGAGTTTAGGAAAAGAGAAGATATTAACAAAAACTTCTGTCTGCAAAATTAAAATAAATAAATTAGAGGTACTTGAGGTAACTTAAAGGTAATTTTCCTGAACTACTACAAGACAATATCAGGATAGATATATTAAGAAAGAACTTAGATGCCGAGTACAGTGGCTCATGGCTGTAATCCCAGCACTTTAGGAGGCCAAGGTGGGAGGATCACTTGAGACCAGAAGTTTGACACTACACTGAGCAATATAGCAAGACCCACACCTAAAATTTAAAATAATTAACCAGGTTTGGTGGGGCATGCCTGTCGTCCTACCTACTTGGGAAGCTGAGGTGGGAGGATTGCTTAAGTCCAAGAGTTCAAGATTGCAGTGAGCTATGATCACACTACTGTACTGTAGCCTGGGAGACAGAGTGAGACCGAAGCGTTTAAACAAAAAGAGTGAGTCTATGCTGTGCTTAGGAATAAACTTTGAAGAAATATACCTTTTTTGACAGGATTTTAAATCTGAAGATAAGTTATTCGAAGAGTCAAGAAGATGTAGGAATGAAAATGATCTTAGACTATGCCTCCCGGACTTTAAGGGAAATAAGAATGGAGAGGAAAAATCCTGCTCAAAGTGATTATCTGTAGACCCTGGACAAATTTATTTTTATTTTAGTAGGAGGATGGAAGTATTTCAAAATTAGAAGAAACTTGAAAGAATTTTTGAACAAAATACTATAGTTTAAAGGATAGTTGTAAGAAGTAAATAGGTGAGAGTGAATGATATGATGTAAATACATTTGAGCATTTGCAGGACAAAGTTAAGAGCAAAGTTAAAATAGTTAGACAAAGTCTATTGGTAAATCAGGAATCATTGTTGAGAACTTCAAAATATAAACAGTTTTATATGTGATAAACTGATGTAAAATACTGGACTCTAGGTTAATGCCAAAGTTATATTTTTATACTCTTAGAAGTGAATTGAAATTTTACGTAGTTAACAGTAGAAAACAACAACAGTTATTAAATGGATGCTGATATATTTGAAAAATAAGTAGAGCAGATGAGTTAATTAAAAGGAAATTTAAAGTTCCTACAAAAACTATGTAGATGAAAAAAGAGAGTTTCAATGTCCATTATAAATTTTTTCTGAAGTAGAAAATAATAGTAGTTTATTAGATTAAATTTAAAAACTGAAGAGAAAGATCACTGATTTGATTTAAAATCCACATATCTGTTTCTTGTGGAAGTTCTTAAAAATAAAGGACATGAACATAAATGGACTGAAACTTGGGGAGTCATCTTCTGTCATGCCTGTGGGACTAAGACTACTAGTTGTTCCATGGATTTCATACCAAGAAGTATCAAGGGAAACAGTTTCTTTCTTTCTTTTTTTTTTTTTTTTTTGAGATAGCGTCTCACTCTATTGCCCTGGCTAGAGTGCTGTGGTGTCAGCCTAGCTCACAGCAACCTTATCTCCTGGGCTCAAGTGATCTTTCTGCCTCAGTCTCCCAAGTGGCTGGGACTACAGGCATGCACCCCCATGCCTGGCTAATTTTTTCTATTTTTAGTAGAGACAGGGTCTTGCTCTTGTTCACGCTGGTCTCGAACTCCTGAGCTAAACGATCTGCCCGTCTTGGCCTCCCAGAGTGTTAGGATTATAGGCATGAGCCACTGCACCTGGCCCAAGAAATAGTTTCTATATAATGCTTCATGGTACATTAAACAGTGAAAAATTATCACTACTGAATTTATTCACATGTTCCAAATAGCATAGCATCAAATTATATAAAAGGAAAACTGGCAGAAATGTAAAAATAAATTATTCTTGTAACAAGATATAACAGATGAAGTTATGTAATCTTAGCTGTAGAATTGCTGGGTCCAAGAGTATGCTCATTTAAATTTTTTGTAGACATTAACTTCCTGTGCCATTTATGGTCTCACCAGCAGTTTATTAAAGTGCCTGTTTTCCTGTGTTGTGGTAGTTTGTATTATCAAACTTTCTCATCTTTGCCAATCTGAGAATTGAAAAATATGTCTTGTTTTGATTTGCTTCCTGAATCATACTGAGGTAGAACATTGATTGTGCTTTGAATAGGCTTTTAAGAGACAGTCTAGGGAATGCATTTTCTCGAGTCTAAACAGAGAGTAATGACTTAACATTTTGTCTTTCTTCAGAAGAGTAATATGTATAAGCTGAATTTTAAGTGATTTTCACTTTCCGTGTAGGTTGAAGCTTGTAGATTATATAGCAAGTTCTCTGCCCGGCCAGCCAGCATAGAAGCTATTCCTTCTGTTATTGAAAAGGTACAGTATTAAATACCAAGCTTTCTAAGTCAAGTGGTATTTCTCAGTTGCTTATACTTACATTATTTTTATTCTCAATAGAATGAGTGACAATTAGGAATATATCTAAGCACTTAAAAATGACACTGTTTAAAAGCTATTTAAATTTTAATGTTCACTGTCATTACATTTAATTGTAGAAACAGAGGTAAAGTAAGTTATTTTTGGAAAAAGTTTCTCCTGTGCTTTAGTTTTTAAAATTATCTTTTTAATTATACAGAAGTAAAAAGAAAAGTATAATGAACCCCTAGGTACTCTTTCCTTTATGTTTTTACAAAAGATTATTTTTGAAAATGGGGCCTAAATCATATAAGACCATCTCTTAGTTAATTAAACAGCATACAGGTTGAGTATGCTTTATCTGAAATGATTGGGACCAGAAGTGTTTCAGATATCAGGGTTGTTTTTTTTTTTTATTTTGGAATATTTACGTATAATATAATGAGATATCTTGGGAATGTGACCCAGGTCTAAATGAGAAATTCATTTATGTTTCATATATACTTATATACATAGCCTGAATATAATTTTATTTTTCCTTTGGGAACACTGAATAAACTGTTGTGGACATGGATTTTGACTGTGAATAGTCGCATGAGGTCAGGTGTGGTACTGGTGACACCATGTCGGCACTCAGAAAGTTTTGTATTTTGGAGCATTTTGGATTTTGCATTTTCAAATTAGGGATGCTCAGCCTATATTATAAATTAATTAGTTACCCAGCATTTATATGTGAAATTACATTTGGGGTGTTTCAAAACCATGAGTTACAAAAACCATTTGACACACATGATAACATTACAATTTCTGAAAACTCTGCCAACTCATTAGGATTAGGAGGCAGATGAAAGTACATGTTACAGGGAAAAATCTTGGCAGGCAGAGCCTAATGAGTAACATCTAAGACTAAAGTATAAAGTATAATAGAATATGAATTTTAAAGTCCAAATGAATACTTTTTTATCTCTCCCCTTTTAAACAAAAATACCTTTAAAAATATAGACTCAATAGAAGACATTTCAATTTTAATTGTTTTTTATCCAACTAAGCATATCTAGAAAAATTAAAAATCATGTTCATTTCATAGCTTTAAATTACCTTCAAGTGGAATATGATAAGATTGAGATTTTAAAAATCTTTTTTTCTATTTGTAATAAATGTAGGCAGTGAGAAGCAGTATCTATGGCCGTCCAGGTGCTTGCTATGTTGACATACCTGCAGATTTTGTGAACCTCCTGGTGAATGTGAATTCTATAAAGTAAGTAATAGTTATATTGGAATTCTTTCTTAAGTGTTACAAATATTATCATGATGCTTACCTTTTAAACAAGAAATTACCTAGTAGTTTATAAGTTAATCTCCATTTGTCTTAACTTTTGATAAGTTAGTAATTAAACTAAATCCTAGCCAAAGGGCTTAATTCTCTTCATTAAAATGGTATTATATAGTAATTATCTTTGGATTTGATTACTAAATCAAATACTTAAAGCTTCCTGAACTCCTCATTTGAAATTACTCCTCCAATAACCATAATTATACATCCCCATTATTGTAGTATGGGTCCTTGGGAATCTTCATAGTGTAAGCCAATAGATGAGGTGATTATTGAAAATTTATTAGGATTTAGCATAAAGAATGTTTATGTAGCTGTCTATATTTAAAATGTAGACATTTTAAATTAAAATTTAAAAAATAGAATTTAAAAATATTCCAACACAGAGGTTTCTGTGATTTGTCATGTCCTCCTTTTTCTTAAATAAACACTAACTGAAAATAAATAGAGAAAACATTTTTTCGCTGGTACCTAAGTCACCCCTGGTAAGGATGGGTACTTGGGTTAATACATCAAGCTGGATATGATTTAGTACATAACTGCTGTTGTGGACCATATAGTTCTCTAGACTGCAGAGAGACAGTGGGACTTACTGTACACTTAGTACACCACCGAGTGATTTCTATTTGGGACAGCTATCCCGTATAATAACTGCACATGTTAATCAAAATAATATTGGGGGTGAGGGCAAGCCTCAGCTAAGTTAACTCTGTAAGCCTTCTTTTAAATTTTGTAAAGGTTGAATGTCCATTTTTATTGTGTGTACAAATTTTATACAGTATGAGTTTATTAATTAGAATAAATGAAATACCACAGTGAGGACTTAGTGTCCAGAAATACTTAACTGTGGCAAATTGCTTTAATTATTTTTACTAATGCATACTGTGATACTAAAATATTAACTTACCCAATGAATAGAAATATAGGAAAGTGTTTAAAAGCATACATTTTGGAGATAGAATGATATTTTAATCCAGTGTCTGCCACATGCCACATGGGGACCTTGGGCAAATTACTTACTTTCTCTGAGTCTTTTTTTCTCAGTGGTGTAATGGAGATAATGGTAATACCTAACCTCATTGTTTTGACAATTAGATGAGAATAAGTGACACATTGTAAGTATTAAATATTAGCTTTTAGTATGGCTTTTACAACATGTTATTACAAAAACATATAAAATGAGGATAAGGAGCTGAAAAAATTTTTTGAATATAACAATAACCACTACTACTGCTGCTATCACAGTACAAAGCCATTAACCCAAATTTTCTTTTTATGAATTAGCCATTTCACTGTCAAATTTTAGATGATATTATGGAATAACTGTTAGTATACTAGATGTGATAATGATGTTATGATTTCACAGGAGAAGATCCTTCTTTTAGTGCTGCATGGGGAAGTTTTAAGGGTGAAATGTCTTGATGCCTATAATTTACTTTAAAATGGTTCAGGAAAAAAATGAATATTTGTGTGTGGAACAAATGTGGTATTAATAAAATGATATTAGTTGTTGGATCTACATGGTGGATATATGGAGCTTATTCTATTTTTTTCTACCTTTTTATATATTTGAAATTTTCATAATAAAAAGTCTTAGAGTTGGCCATTTTTAATTAACCAAGTTCTTTATTTCCAGGTACACAGAGTGCTGCATGTCACCTCCTGTTAGCATGGCAGAAACTCCTGCTGTATGTATGGCAGCATCTGTTATTAGGAATGCCAAACAGCCCCTTCTTATCATCGGGAAAGGTAGTATTGAATAGAACACTAAATCTTACTAGGCTTTTGAAAGAATGCTTGATTCTTTTTATAAATGGTCTTCATTATTTATTAACATCTGTCTAATGTTTGAAATTGAATTGAAATAGGAGTTTTCTTTATCCATTTAGCATTATTTTGTATTAGTTTTGAAATTACAGAATTATCCTTAAATGCCCACAGATCTCACCTGTTTCAGAAAATATCACCTATTTATATTTCTTTGGTCTTACAAGTGAAATGTGCTTTTACTCTTATAAAATTTTTAGAAAATTTTTGGAAAATTTTTAAATTTTTAGAAAATTTAAAATTTTTAGAAAATCCAGAAAAGTAGAAAGAAGAAATCCCTTCATCCAAGGGGTGCATTTAGTACTTTTCTATTCCTTTTTTCATGCATATTTTACATATTATGATTATACTATACAGACAGTTTTATAGCCTACCTTATTCATTTAACATTATAATATTTATGTAATTTTTTATCATCTTAAAATTCTTTCCTAAATATAATATATATTTTAATGTCTGTTTATATGTACATCAACACTTACTTTACTGGCACATACTTAAATCTTTTCCAATTATTGTCTGTCTGTTTAGAGTAGCTGTGGCAAACATATTTGTGCTTAAAGCTTTTTCCATATTTAGGATTTAAGGTAGATCCCCAGAAAGAAAGTTAAGCTAAAAATTAGGAATATTTTTAAGACTTTTGGTACATATTGTCAAATTGCTTTCTCCCGAGATGTTGTACCAACCCACTTGATATTCCTGTCAGTATTCTATTGTAGTATCCATTTTGTGTGCTAGAACTGAGACTGCCAGAATCACCTATGACCATGCTAGGCAATTATTAACTACTTAGGAACTAAATAAATAGAAACTAAAAATAGTTTTGATGAAAATCGTGGACAATGAAAAAAAATTGAGGTCAGAGCTAAGTTGAATGCATTATATGATGTATTAGCTCTGTGACTTTGGCAAGCAACTGCTTTGAGTGTCAGTTACGTCACTTGTAAACTGGAGATATTAACTACCCAAGTAGAATATAATTAAATAGCAAAGTATGTGGCAAGCACTCAGTGGTGCTGTAATAGTTTTCATTCTTCCTTTAATGAACATTTGATGAGTGCTTATGATAAGGCAGGGATTGTAGAAATCATTCATGAGGGATACAGAGAAATAATGGTTACCACCTATTGGGGAGATAGACCTGGTAACAAGTAAGGGCCAATATACTTTTTGTGTGGTGTGTACAGAGAGGGTGAGATGGATTCTCAAGGAAAGCAGCTACAATTTGCTTGTGTAGGTGGTATGGAAAGACCATAATAGTTCACGTAGTTTACAAACAGACCAAAGGCAATGCAGGAAGAGAGAACCAAGTATACAAAGACATTGAGGCAAGTCATCCAATACATTTGCATTTCTTGTAGGTGCTGCTTATGCTCATGCAGAGAAGAATATCAGGAAATTGGTGGAGCAGTGTAAATTGCCATTTTTGCCTACCCCTATGGGGAAGGGTGTGGTCCCTGACAACCATCCAAACTGTGTAGGTGCAGCCAGATCCAGGTGCGTGGTGTTCCAGATTTTAAATGCAATGTCATGGCAGATTTTAGGTTAAATGATTTTGTGATATTAATGAAACTAGGGAGAAGTTCTGAAAGAATCATGTAAGTTATCCTATTTGTAATATACTTTTTTTCCTGACTGTTCCCAAGATTTTTTTTTATCTTTGGTTTTTTAGCAGTTTAATTATGACATATCTGGATATGGTTTTCTTTCTTAGTTTAGCCTGTTTGGAGTTCTCAAATCTTCTTGAATTTGAAAATTCGTGTCTTTCTCCAAATTTGAAAGTTTTCACCATTATTTCTTCAGATATTTTTTCTACATCAATCTTTTTTTTTTTTTTTTTGAGACAGAGTCTCGCTTTGTTGCCCAGGCTAGAGTGATTGCCGTGGCATCAGCCTAGCTCACAGCAACCTCAAACTCCTGGGCTCCAGCGATACTTCTGCCTCAGCCTCCCGAGTACCTGGGACTACAGGCATGTGCCACCATGCCCGGCTAATTTTTTTTATATATATATCAGTTGGCCAATTAATTTCTTTCTATTTATAGTAGAGACAGGGTCTCGCTCTTGCTCAGGCTGGTTTTGAACTCCTGACCTTGAGCAATCCGCCCGCCTCGGCCTCCCAGAGAGCTAGGATTACAGGCGTGATACATCAATCTTTTTCTTCTCCCTTGGAACTCCAGTGATATAAATATTAGACATTTTGATACTGTCGCACAGGTCCCTGAGCATCTGTTCATTTCTTTTTAATCCTTTTCTCTCTCATATTTTCTATTTGTCTCCTGAGAACTTCTATCTTTACACATACTTCAAGAATATTTTTCCTTACTTCCTGGAGCATAGTTATAAAAGCTGCTTTAAGATCTTTGTTTATTAATTCTAACATCTGGGTCATTTTGGATAGGCATCTATTCGTTATCTTTCCTTTTGAGAATTGGCCACATTTTTCTGGTTCTTTTTGTACTTGAGTAATTTTGGATTGTATCCTGGATTTTTGAATATTTTGTTGTGAGATTCTGGGTCACATTAAAATCCTCTGTAGAATGTTGATTTTTGTTTATTTGTTGTTTTAGCAAGCAGTTGATCTGGTTAGGTTAGCTTCAGACTACAAATACTCTCTTACTGTGGGCAGTAGTTCCAAGGTCAGTTTTAGAGTTTTTGCTGTGCTGATTTGGGTCTTTCTGCACATGCCCAGCTTAGGGGTGAGCCTCAGACATGTCCTGGTTCATACCCAGAATTAGAGAGTTCTTTTCTCTCCTCTCTAGGACTTCCCCTCTCCCACCCCCAATTCCAGACATCCTGGCCTTTGTGGGTTTTTTTTTTTTTTCCTGGAGGCTGAATGGAGAGTATTGTTTTTATTATTGATGATATAATAGTGGATCACATCCTTCATCGCTGCCTTATAATACCACACAACTGGAGTTGCCCTCTGAGCAAGTTGCACAAGAAAAAAGTAATGGGTATTATCTCCATGTTTTTCAGACCACAAGGGTCCTTTTCCTGGTTCCTCTTGCCTGAGAGATGGTATTTCTCTGGAATTTTATGATAGCTGCTTAAGAGCCACCACACTACAGCTCTGCAACAGGATTGCCCTCAGAGCAAGGCTGGGAGAGAAAGAGAAACAGAAAAAAAATCTGAATTTTTTTCTCATACTCTCCAGCATACAGAGGCCCCCTTTCTAGATATTCTGACCCAAAAGATGGGTTTCTTTCCAAGTTTTTGCTGCCTACAGTTCTGCAACTAGGGCTACCCTTGAGTTAAAGCCAGGAAATAAAAGAGGGGAAATAAAACCCTTGGAAACTTACCCCCTCTGTGTTTGTTTCTTCAAACATATACCCAATCTTGGCTATCCCTGGAAGCCTCCTCTTTTTAGACTTTTAAGGCACACTTTGTGATATACTCTACCTTTTTAAAAAATATTTCTTGAAATTTCTTTATTATGAAATATTCTAAATATACAGACAGGAAGAGAGAATAATTTAATGAACACTTGAATAACCATCACTCAACTTTATCAGTGTCAACATAAAAAATACAAAGAGACAAGCTCTAAGTAAAAAGGTTTTATTTGGGAATAATATATAAGAAGTAGGGTCGTAATCTGGGACATACATACAGACCAAGGTAGCCTACTATATATCTGGAGAAGAAAGGAAAGGTTAGGGTTTTATTGGGGAAAGACAAAGTTACACAATTTGTTTTATGTATTTATTTTTATTTTTTATATTTTTGAGACAGAGCCTCACTTTGTTGCCCAGGCTAGAGTGAGTGCCGTGGCATCAGCCTAGCTCACAGTAACCTCAGTATCCTGGGCTCAAGCAATCCTGCAGCCTCAGCCTCCCGAGTAGCTGGGACTACAGGCATGTGCCACCATGCCCGGCTAATTTTTTCTATATATATTAGTTGACCAGTTAATTTCTTTCTATTTATAGTAGAGACAGGGTCTCGCTCTTGCTCAGGCTGGTTTCGAACTCCTGACCTCGAGCAATCCACCCGCCTCAGCCTCCCAGAGTGCTGGGATTACAGGGGTGAGCCACCGCGCCCGGCCCACAATTTGTTTTAAAAGAAAGTTTATTGGTATCTACAGTGTCTTTTGGAAGCTGGCAACCCCTCTTTGGTGAGTGGTGGCAGTTGCTAGGTCATAGGGGGCTGTTTATTGGATAGGGCTTTTGAAACAGTATGTCAGGCAAGTGTTTTTGTATAAGCAGCTAGCTGCCCTTGTGTGACTCATGTAGCAAGCTGTTGTTTGGAAAGATTTCTTATGATATTTCCTGTTACCAGGCAAATCATTCATGAGAGCCCTGCCCTCATAGCCTTCCCTAGCTCCATTTACCAGGGTTTGACACAAGTGAGTCCATTTTAAATCTGACAACTTTTTTTTTTTAGACAGAGTCTCACTCTGTTGTCCCAGCTAGGGTGCAGTGGCGTCATCGTAGTTCACTGCAACCTCAAATTCCTGGTCTCAAGTGATCCTCTTGCCTCAGCCTCCCAAGTAGCTGGTACTACAGGTACACACCACGACGCCTGGCTAATTTTTCTACTTTTTAGTAGAGGTGGGATCTTGCTCTTGCTCGGGCTGGTCTCGAACTCCTGAGCTCAAGCATTCCTCTTGCCTCAGCCTTCAAGAGTGCTAGGATTACAGGTGTGAGCCACTGCTCCCAACCTAAATCTGACAAATTGTGCATCAGATATTAACTCTATGTTATATTACAGATTCATTTGCAGTCACATATATATTATTCTGGACCCTTTTCCATCCCTCCCTCTTCATAGTTCACCACTGTCATGCATTTGGTGTTCTTCGTATTCTCATGCATGGATTAAAATTAATTCTGAGGGTTTTTTAAATATAATTTTTGCTGCTCAATCTTTAATTGTTGCTCATTTAATGCTACCTTAATAGATTGTCTTTTCATTCATATTAGTATACTTTATATAACTAAATTAATTCGTTAGTTTAAAAAATTTTTTTACTTTAATTTAGATTGAACTGAAGTTTATTTTCCTTCTAGCCAAATTTTAAGAAGATAATGACATTAATAGTGTAAAAAAGATTGCAAGGTGCTATAAATGAATTAATAATTTCAACAGTTTTAGAGTATCAATAAGCAAATCTATCCTGCCAATTGCAAATTTTATTTTTTTGTTAAATTGGGTCCCCTAGGACTAATATAGTATATAAAGATGCTTTTTTGAGTATATACTTTTGAGTATATACTTGAGTATATACTTTTTTTTTGAGTTTGTAATTTCTGTGAAAATTACATTCATCACTGAAGAAAACAAGTAGTAAATACAGATCCTGTATGACAAAAGACAGAAAAAATGAGAAACAGATATAAGAAGCAGAAAAATGAGAAATAAAAATGAAACCCACAGCAGTTATAATAATAAGCTGCCCTGGACAAAGGCAGAGACATTCAGATTGCATTAATAATAACAGCAACTAAATCTGTTATAAGAGCCACATCTGAAAAATGATAATATAGCTTAAAAATAAGACTGGGCAAAGACATTTGAAGTAAACAAAAAGAAAGCAAGGGGCCGGGCGCAGTAGCTCACGCCTGTAATCCTAGCACTCTGGGAGGCCGAGGAGGCGGGCAGATTGCTCGAGGTCAGGAGTTCGAAACCAGCCTGAGCAAGAGCGAGACCCTGTCTCTACTATAAATAGAGAGAAATTAATTGGCCAACTAATATATATATATAAAAAATTAGCCGGGCATGGTGGCGCATTCCTGTAGTCCCAGCTACTCGGGAGGCTGAGGCAGGAGGATTGCTTGAGCCCAGGAGTTTGAGGTTGCTGTGAGCTAGGCTGACGCCATGGCACTTACTCTAGCCTGGGCAACAAAGCGAGACTCTGTCTCAAAAAAAAAAAAGAAAGCAAGGGTGGCTGTGGTATGAAAGTAAAATCATTAAAGATCAGAGTTATATTGACAAAAATATTATAATATATAAAATAAAACTATTAGAAATACACTTGGTATAATATTCTGGAAAGCAATTCAAGAATATGAATCAATAGTTTTAAAAATACCTGCTTCTAGAAATCAATGTGAAGAGTGCATTAAGACTTAAGTATAAAGATATCCCACTCAGTACTATTAATTACAAAGAAAATATCCAGCAATTGAGCAAACATTAAATAAACTGTGGTATATGTGTTCAGCAAAATATGTGGCCTTTAAAAATTGTACTTAAGAAGAACTTAATAACAAAGGAAAACATTTATAATGAACAAAAGTGCATGAGACAGTATTATAGTATATAAGCTCAGCTGTATAAAAATATACTTTCATAGAAAAAAAGACTAGATGAAAATATGCCAGGATATTGATAATAGTTTATAAATTGACAGTATTATGGGGTGATTCTGTTTTTTTCTTCATACTTTTTCTGTTTTTTTCCGGGTTGTCTATAGTGAACTTGTATGAATTTTTCTAATGATAAAAAAGTAATAAATAAAATAGAGCATAGAGACAGTATATGGTAATATTTTTTCTACTTCATCTTTTAGATTACTATGTAAATAGAATGGTTTCATAAATGATATTAGTTTGAAAGATCAAGTTTACCCTAGAAGCTGATTCTAAAATCTAATGTAAGCTCTAAATTATGTAGACTTTTAAAAATCATTTAGAAATTAATTTTAGAATAATTCACATAAGAAATATAGTTGTTCTTTTTGTGTTATATCAGATGTTTTTTTAAATAGGGCTTTGCAGTTTGCTGATGTAATTGTGTTACTTGGTGCCAGACTAAATTGGATTTTACATTTTGGACTGCCTCCAAGATACCGGCCAGATGTGAAGTTTATCCAGGTACTTAGAGAGGAGAGATTTAAAAGCAAAGCTATCTACAGTTTATTATTCTCCTCCTCAACCATATCAGCTCTACTTTCTTTCTGACTTCTGTAAAGAACTGTTTCTCTTTTTACAAAAGTAGAATTTTATAAATTGTCTAACATAATTACAGGTCCCAAAATAAGCTGCCTTCTCAAGCCCATGAAACATAATGTGCTGCTTTATTTCTAACCAGAAAACCTTTCAAAATCAAGTTTCAAATAGTTTGAAAAGTATAATTTGCCTCTTCTTCACAGTTCAAGTATATTTAAAGGTAGAGAAACCAGATTTAAGTAGGATGATAGATTAGAAGGAAACATTTGGCATTGTTAAGAAGTGAGGTAGGTTTTCTTTTAGAAGCCAAAACTTTTTTTGATCTTTTGGTTGGAAATCTCTAAACTACATTGCTTTTATCTATGTTATCAAACAGTATCTGGAATATACTCTGACCTCTCTTTGATGACTCTTATACCATTAGGATCCTCTTTATAATTTGGTTTCTTTACTGGTATGGAAAGTACTACCTACACAGTGACATGCAAACCTACAAGTTCTACACGATTGTGCCCATTCTATTGGATGTTTGATGACCACAGTTTGATGACGACTACAGTTGCTATCTTTTCCCAATCTACCTTTCACTTCTTTTTTTTTTTTTTTTTTTTGAGACAGAGTCTCACTCTGTGGCCCAGGCTAGAGTTCCATGATGTCAGCCTAGCTCACAGCAACCTCAGACTCTTGGGCTCCAGCAATCCTCCTGCCTCAGCCTCCTCAGTAGCTGGGACTACAGGCATGTGCCACCATGTCCGGCTAATTTTTTCTATATCTTTTTAGTTGGCCAATTAATTTTTCTATTTTTAGTAGAGACGGGTTCTAGCTCTTGCTCAGGCTGGTCTCGAACTCCTGACCTTGAGTGATCCGCCCGCCTCGGCCTCCCAGAGTTTTAGGATTACAGGCGTGAGCCATTGGGCCCGGGCTTACCTTTCACTTCTTAAGGAGTCAACTTTTAATAGCGCCTTTCCCATCTGAGGCCACTGAGAACCGAAACCACAAACAACCAGCAAGACCTCGGGTTGTGCCTCGAAGATTCTGCTACCTCGTGGTTGCCCCTCTTGATTACAGGATAAACCAAATCCTCTTTGGAGTGTCTTAATTATTCCTCCTTGCAGAAGCTATTTTCACTTGTCCATGACCATCCAGAAATAGAGCTTCTGAGTAAATGGGGAAGTAATCACGCCATGTTCATGGAGTGCTTCCCTGGGCCAGCAGCATTAACACTACCTGGGAAACCTCTTAGAAATGCACATTTCCAGACCCAGACCTCTTGAAATCAGAAGCTCTGAGGCGGACCCCTCAACCTATGGTCTAACAAACCCACCAGATGATTCTGATATATGCTCAAATTTGATAACCCCTGCTTTAGATAGAAATTTCAAATGTAATTCTATAGAACTTATTATGGATTAGATTCAAAACTAATTGATCAGGTCAAATATATTCCTGTCAGTTTAATAGAACAATACCAAAATTCCTTACATTTTAAAATAAGGGAAGATGATGAGGTTCTCTATATTAGCTGTGATACTAATATAGTTCTATGGTCTTTTGCTTTTATTAAGGAACTTCTGAATATCAAATCCTTGAATGTTGTATATGTACAGTTCATTTATTCAGTGTTGATTGACTTTGTAAAGATTTTTAAGAATAAACATGAGTTGTTGTTTGGCCATGTCTCAATTTTAGGTTGATATCTGTGCAGAAGAATTGGGGAATAATGTAAGGCCTGCTGTGACTTTGCTAGGAGACATAAATGCTGTCACTAAACAGGTAAGGACTTCTGCCTGGGTTTTAGTTTATGTGGATTAATCTTTAGGGAATAGTCAATTCTTGAAAATGTTTTAGTCTTGATTTACTTGGTAACAGGTCTATTAATATCTATTTTAAATAAAATTTATTATGGAAAACTTCTTAAGTAAAACTTTGGAACTTGGTAAATCCAACTTCTTGTACATAGCTCATTTTTATGTAAATTAAGCATTTTTGGAAGGCAATAGAAAGTTTAAAGTCCTTCAGTAGGTAAACAGTGACTTATTATACAGGATCCAGCTAGCTGAAAATTTATAATAATACCTTTCAAAGGGATGGAACTTACAGCCAAGAATTGGCTTACTCACTGGAAAAATTGAATTTAGTATTTCTTTAGGTAACAAAGAACTTTTTACTCTTCAAGCTGTAATCAGTGACTTTTCCAGGTTCTTATTATTTGTACATAGTTTTTATTTCACTGTGAAAGGAGGTAAAATATAATCACATTTATCGCTTGATTTTGGGTGATACAAATTGGTATTGTTATGACTATAGGATATTAGGATGTAATTCCCAGTAACATATTAAATCACTCTGGGGCATTTTGGGTCTGTATCATAGGAATCAATAGGTATTTGTTGGCATTCCTGCAAGGGTCCTATGGAGAGGGTGGTTTCCTTCTAGTGTCAAAGACTGAGGAGGGCTTTAGAGCCTCTGCCTGAAGTGTGGAAGAAGTAACACTTCACTCTGTCCTATGGGAATCTCAGCATCTGGCCAAAAACCACACTGATGCAAACAAAAGCTTTCCATGTTACCCATTTATCTTCTATTAGTTGTTTGCTGCCTAGAGGAAAAAAAATAGTCCTAGTGATGCAAAGGGTAGAATAGTATGGCAGTATTTTCTTCTTTAAAAGGAGATTTTTGGGGGGAGAGGGGGAAAGGGCATTTATCAAAACCTTAAAATCTGTACCCCCATAATATGCCGAAATAAAAAATAAAAGGAGATTTTTATGTTAATATGATTTAAGTTTATTTTCAAAAAGAAAAAAAAATTGTGTTTTTTTTAGCTTTTAGAAGAATTTGATAAAATACCATGGCAGTATCCTCCAGAGAGCAAGTGGTGGAAAACTCTGAGGGAAAAAATGGACAGCAATGAAGCTGCATCTAAGGTAAGAAGGGACCCACTGAAGCTCGGTTAGTTCTGCCATAATGTGAAATGTGACATATGCATTCCTAAAAATCACCTTGCTGTTCAAAATCATGCAGTATAAACCTCAGGGCTCATGGGAAAAAAGGGTTAAGGGACATGACTCTCAAAAACTTCAGAAACCTAAAGATAAGATAGGAATTTAATAAAAATGGTAGCAAAGTTTTAACCATGTTAAGTGGTTAAGAAATATATGCCAGTAAATATAGCTCTTTACCTTGAAAAAGACCTTAAATGGGCAGCAGGCATTGGGAGGGTTGTGGCTTGTGAGTTATTATGAAATGGTGGAAAAAGGATGATCTGCCATGGGATGGAAAGTTGTAGTAGTGGGTGTGATGGATGTGGCTCATTGTTCTCAATTTGATGATGATACAGAACATCACAAGTGACTTTTTTGGAACTTTAAATCCTAAGGCATGTCAGGGCATGTTTTTCTGCCTTTAAGATATAGGAGCTTCAGGCTGGGTGTGGTGTCTTACGCCTATAATCCCAGCACTTTGGGGAGGCCAAGGCAGGTTTATCGCTTAAGGCTAGGAGTTCGAGACAGCCTGAGCAACTTAGTGAAACCCCCATCTCTACAAAAAATTTTTAAAAATATTAGCCGGGCATGGTGGTGCATGCCTGTAATCCAAGCTACTTGGGAGGCCGAGGCAGGAGGATTGCTTGAGCCCAGGAGTTTGTGGTTGCAGTTACCTGTAATGATGCCATTGCGCTCAAGCCTGGGTAACAGATTTTTTTGTGTGTGTGTCTCATGCTTCATTTAATCTGAAGATACAGGCTTTCCATCTTCAGATATAAATTATTTATAACATTACAGAACAGGCAGCGTATTCAACAATTTAAAAACTAGGTAAGTCTATTCGGTCTTAATATCTGGCAACAGTTCTCCCAATCTGTTCTTTTAAAAAAGTCACCCCTGCCCCTATTTCAGTAGATGTGCACCATGCCATAGAGAACAGGACTTAGGTGAAGAGGCCTCCGATGAGGCCTCCTGTAAAGAGAGGTCTTTGTGATTTAAAATATTTGTTCCACCTCCTTCCTGCCTTGAGAATTAGGAGCAGGGAGAGCAGAATGGAGGCAAGCAGGTAGAAGATTAAGCCGTAGAGGCCGGTGAGGCCGAGGATGCCGGCTGTGGCCCCCGACAGCGCTGACACTGAGGTCAGGCGGTAATCCAGGACAGCGGCGGCGGCGTTGGCGTTGCCCCGCACAGCTGCGTCACTGATGAACTGCGGCCCTTCCCGCTTGGCAGCCACCGCGGCCATCGCACCCACCGGGGCTCCCCTCCAGCTTTCTCAGGGAGCTAGAACAGGGCGGCGGACGCTGTCACTTAGCATTCCCGCAGACTGGCAGGGGTAGGCTCCCGCGGCGCCATCTTGCGCTGAGGGCTCCTGGGTAACAGATGGAGACGCTGCCTCAAAAGAAAAGATATCCGACCTTCAAGGCACGAGATGATAATAGATAGCTGTTTCATTAAAATAGAAAATTTGATCCAATGTATAGCCTTGTTTTTAATTTAACTTTTCTATTACTGCTAGAAATTCCTTCGCAGCTCTCCCATTTGAACCTGTGGCTTTGTCTGATAGCAAAGGCATTGGACATTGTAGTGACGTTTGAAACCACCAAACCATTGACTGCTAACACACTGAGTCACTTTTGCAGGACTTGGCAATTTTTATTTAAAGTCTCTGTATATATGTGTAATGCCTTCCCTCTGATTGTGAGAAAGGTATTTCCTGATTTTTTTCATTGTTTTGTGTATTCCTATATATTGAGTCCTCTGAGTGCAGTTTTCTGTGGTCACTTAGTGGTTCTTACTGGCAGAATTATGCATAAGCAAATACGAAATTTGAGTTATGCTTACTTGATTCCATAATATATCCATCATCTTGAAACAAATTCGTATTTTTTGCACCAAGCATTATAGCAGAATTGATTATACATGAATCTTACATTGCAATTTTAATCAGTGACTGTTTCTCCTATTAGGAGCCAGTCTCAATTCTATTTCCTGAATCATATCCTGACCTTCTTTTTCCTAGGAATGACCTTAGTTTAAGACGGAAGGAACTTGCCTCTCTTCTCTGGTACAGGAGTATAGGAAGGTCGCTCATCCATCTTGGTATATCTCCAATAGAACAAAGTAGCACAAGAGGCAGTGCTGGGGCCAGGTGGCTCTGTTGCTGCTAAAGCCCCCTGTGGCTTTCTCTAGCTCTAAAAGGCATGTGGCTAGACAAAGGCATTTTCCCTGCTGCTTTTCCCTCTGTTCAGGTAGGAACCCTTTAGAATAGTAGGTGTAGCATATATGCTTTACTTTCCAGTGTGTAGAGGAAGAACCAGATTTTCAGATTGTTTTCTAAAATTATGATATTTTTATTTTAAGTTTAGGGTCATATTTCTTTCTTTTTTTTTTTTTTTTTTTGAGACAGGGTCTCACTTTGTTGCCCCGGCTAGAGTGCTGTGGCGTCAGCCTAGCTTACAGCAGTCTCAAACTCCTGGGCTCAAGCAGTCCTTCTGCCTCAGCCTCCCAAGTAGCTGGGACTACAGGCATGTGCCACCATGCCCGGCTAATTAATTTATATATATATACACACACACATATTTAGTTGGCCAATTAATTTCTTTCTATTTTTGGTAGAGATGGGGTCTTGCTCTTGCTCAGGCTGGTCTCGAACTCCTGAGCTCAAACAATCTGGCCACCTTGGCCTCCCATAGTGCTAGGTAGGGTCATATTTCTGATGAAATTATTCTAGAATAAAAGTTTTACTTTTTCTAAGGCAGTTTTTTCCTAAGAGTGGTCAAATAAGAAAGTTTAGTTTTGTTTAACCCAATGTTTCCCAGCTTTCTTTACTATAGGACTTCTTAGTATTTAATATGCTACTAGGCATTGTGGATTTCCAGAAAGAGATTCCCTGACTTTTTTTTTTTTTTTTTTTTTGAGACAGGGTCTCACACTGTTGCCTGGGCTAAATTGCAGTAGCATCATGATAGTTTACTGTAAACTCAAATTCCTGCCTCAGCCTTCCAAGTAGCTGGGAAGTAGCAGGTGTGAGACACTGAAACCAGCTAATTTTCAAATTTTTTGTATAGATAGGGTCACAATGTTGCTCAGGCTGGTCTTGAACTCTTGGCCTCAAGCAATTATCCCACCTCAGCCTCCCAAAGTGCTAGGATTACAGGCATGAGCCACCATGCCTGGCCTCCCTAACTTATTTGACTGTGTTCCAAACACGGGCCATGGGACACATTTTTCTTAGCATATCCCCCAGGACTATTCATAGGTCAATTAACTTCTCAGAGTGGCCATTTTATAATCATTTTGGGAACCTTATAGTTGTTGCCTATTTCTAAGTAAGTTTGATAGTAGCTTATTGACATTGATTATTTTCATTGTATCCCAATCTAATTTTGATTACATTCTGGTCTACTTTTTAGGAATTAGCTTCCCAAAAATCCCCGCCTATGAATTATTACACAGTATTCTACCATGTTCAAGAACAACTACCCAGAGATGGTTTTATTGTAAGCGAAGGAGCAAATACGATGGACATTGGACGCACTGTGCTTCAAAACTACCTTCCTCGTCACAGGTAAGTCTTCTGAGAAAGAAATTATAATTAATTATGATGTGTTTAATTTGAAACTATAATAATACAGATTAAGGAAACATTTGAGAATTATACATGTGCAGTGTATGATGACATATTTCATAAAAGTATTCTTAGGTGAGGTTTCATAGAGTTATTATGCTTGATATATCTTTGGTATTGTGTGATAATTTGTATTCTCAGTGTTCTAAGGATATGTTTACAGTCTTCAAACAGTCATGAGTGCTTTTCCCTATCATGCTTATTCTTGACAAATTAGTTCCTCATAGTCTAAAGATTTTATATTAAAGAAAAAGAATGTTTTCATGGTTCTTTATTTTTTCACAAACCATGTGAATACGACTAAAAGATTTGTGTCAACTCCACCCTCTGTGACATGCCCCAGAGTTTCATTTTAGTTTTGTTCCCCAACAGGCTTGATGCTGGTACTTTTGGAACAATGGGAGTTGGTTTGGGATTTGCTATTGCAGCTGCTGTACTAGCTAAAGATAGAAGCCCTGGGCAGCGGGTCATCTGTGTGGAAGGCGACAGTGCGTTTGGGTTTTCTGGCATGGAGGTGGAAACCATCTGCAGGTAAAACAGCATCCTGAATCAGAGCATTTCATTCTTCAGAATATGAAAAATTACATACCCACTTGCCTAATAAATATGTACCAGTGTTCACCATGTGTCAGCTGCCCTGTGCATAGCACCGAACTCTGTCCTGAGAATACTGGTGCAAGTAACCCAAGGTCTTTCTCTTCTGGAACAGTGTTTCTGTGTTCCTGACCTCCTCACTGTATGCTAAAATCCTGTAAATCTATAGGGAGTAGTTTTGAGGTTACTAGAAAAAAAATGTTTTGGCCTGAGAGAAGCTTGTTTTCTTCAGGGAGACAGCAGAGTGTGGTGGTTAAGAGCATGGCCTCTGGGACAAATGGCCTGCATGTGAATACTGGTTCTAGTGTGTCAACACCAAGTGACTTTGGTTAAGTCACTTAACCAAGCCTCACTTTCTTCTTCTTTAAAATAGGAATAGTAATAATTCCTACCTTAGAGAATGATTGAAAGGGACAAATGAGATAATCCAGGTAAATTTTGAGGTGACATTCCATGAACTTGAGCCACTTGGATGATGTTTGTAGTTATAAAGATTCATGGAGAAACTCATGAGTTGTAGATCCACTATGAAAGTATGGAGATTTTTTTCTCCCCAACTATATTTAAACTGTGGTAAAACCATTCTTTTCTTAGCCAGGGCTCTTATTAGGGTTTTTTTGAATCATGTTTGGAGTTTTCAAAGCTTTGATATATACAACTTACAAGACTGGGGGAAGGTACAGTTGTCCCTTGGTATCTATGGGGGATAGATTCCAGAACCCTCCCTCAGTTACCAAAATCTGAGGATGCTCAAGTCGCTGATGTAAAATGGTATAGTATTTGTAAATAACCTATGCACATCCTCCCATATATTTTAAATCATCTCTAAATTACTTATAATACTTAATACAATGTAAATGTTCTATAAGTAGTTGTTATACTATATCATTTAGGGAATAACAACAGGGAAACAAAAAGTCTATGTGTTTAGTACAGACACAATTTTTTTTAATTTTTTTTTTTTTTTTTTTTCATTTAGGGAATAACAACAGGGAAACAAAAAGTCTATGTGTTTAGTACAGACACAATTTTTTTTAATTTTTTTTTTTTTTGAGACCGAGTCTCTCTTTGTTGCCCAGGCTAGAGCGAGTGCCGTCGCTGCAGCCTAGCTCACAGCAACCTCAAACTCCTGGGCTCAAGCGATCCTACTGTCTCAGCCTCCCGAGTAGCTGGGACTGCAGGCATGCGCCACCATGCCCAGCTAATTTTTTTCTATATATATTAGTTGGCCAATTAATTTCTTGCTATTTATAGTAGAGACGGGGCCTTGCTCTTGCTCAGGCTGGTTTCGAACTCCTGACCTCAAGCAATCCGCCTGCCTCGGCCTCCCAGAGTGCTAGGATTACAGGCTTGAGCCACCGCGCCCAGCCTAGACACAATTTTGTAAAAAATATTTTTGATCTACGGTTGGTTAAATCCACAGATGCAAAGCTCACAGATACGGAGGGCCCACTGTCTGTGTCTGTTAAGAGTGTCTGTATTGACAACCAACTGATGTACAACAAAAACGTGATTTACTAGGAAGTTGGCCTTCTAGATAATGATTCCTTTTGAGCATGGAGAGAAATAGGTACCACAGTCCTGTTATTTAACAGCATGCAGTTTAGTTTTATTTTTACTACCTACCATCAGAAATTACAGCAGAAAATAAAGCCCACATTCTTTTTCAGTTATTCATAAAGGTTAATTATCTTTTTTTGCTCTTTGCTATACTGTTTAGCACATTGTTAGATACTTTCTTTCTGTACTAATTAATTACACCATGTAATGTGTTTCTAATAATGGGTGCAGTGGCTTGAGCGCAGAGTGTGTATGCTAGTCACTTGTGTATCTCCCGCAGCATCTAGTCTCAGGAGCTCAGGAAGTAGAAAGGTAGTTTTCAACTAGTGCTCCTAGGAACCACCCAGAAGAGGTCTTTAGAGGGTATTAAGTAGGGAAGGTGTCATTCATATTACTATCTATATCTGTGAAAACCCAGATTCAGAAAAGCTCAGTGATTTGCCTGAGGTCCATAGCTAAATAGCTGTAAAACCAGAATTTAGGTCTACTAACTCTTAATCTTGCATTCATTCTACCACTTCATGATGTTCCTGATAATGATTTTATCAGACAGAAATCTTTATTAGGATAATACATACTTAACTTGTAGTGTTCCTCTAAAATTACAAAGTTTATAGAAAACGTTATCCATTTCTAAGTTAAAATTTCAGCCCAAAGAAAAGAAATTGCTTAAGAATAAAAAATGATTTCCTTCATATTTGACTTTTACTTTGAGGTACAACTTGCCGATCATAATCTTGGTGGTGAATAATAATGGAATTTACCAAGGTTTTGATACAGATACTTGGAATGAAATGTTAAAATCTCAAGATGCTACGATAGCGTAAGTAACTGAAAACAATGTATATTTACTTTCTCTCATCTATTTTAATATCTTTTTAAAAAGTCTACTGTATTAGAATGTACCTGCATGGTTAAGTATCATCTGTTTTGATCGTCAGCCCTTATAAAGGGCAGGAATCCTGTCTTTGTGGTTCCTCTTTGAACAAATATCCATAATTAGGTACTTTAGTAGTTTATGATCAGGTAGCCGCTGAAAACTGAGATAAATGAGCATGACATCTGAGCCTTGTTAATAAAAGAGCTTATTACAAAATTCTCCCAGTCTTACTATGTAGGAATATGAATGTTTACATATTATTTATGATCCAGAGGTCTTCATTGCTTTTACCACTTAGCTAAATCTTGATCATCTGGTAGCAGAGCCAAACTAAGACAATGTTGTGGCTGGCCATAGGCTATGAGACAGATGTGAATTTGTGAACCAGTCTGGGTGTGGAATAGGGTAGGGGTATGTTTGTTTATGCCTGACTAACTTCATTTGTTATTTTACTGTTATTTGTTATTTTGTATAACCATTTTTTTTTTATTTATAATAGTTGATAGTGTAGCTTGTGCTGTGTAGTATAATAGCCACTAGGCACATTGCAATTGTTACAATTTAAATTTTTTTTTTTTTTTTTGGTAACTAGGTCTCTCTCTCTCTCTTGCCCAGGCTAGAGTGTAGTGGCATCATTATAGCTCACTGCAGCCTCCAACTCCTGGGCTTAAATGATTCTCCTGCCTCAGCCTCCTAAGTAGCTGGGACTACAGGGATGCACCACCACACCCAGCTAATTTTTTTTTTAAATTTTTTATAGAGATGGCATCTCGCCATTGCCCAGGCTGGTCTCAAATGCCTGGCCTCAAGCGGTCCTCCTATCTTGGCCTCCCAAAGTGCTGGGAGTACAAGCATGAGCCACTACACCTGGCCTGAGATTTAAATTTAAATTATTTTAAATTAAATTAAAAATTGAGTTCCTTAGTTTAACTAGTCACATTTCAAGTGCTCACAGAAATAAGTAGATAGTGGCTATTATATTGGATAGCACAGGAATAAAACATTTCTATCATCTCAGAAAGTTCTATTGGACATTGCTATATAGACAATAAAAAATATAGGGAAAATTTAGTGTACTGGCATCTCAGTTTAACTGTTGGAAATAAAAGTATGCCTTTCAGTTCAGCCTAAATTTTTTTATGGGTTATTTTGAGAATGGATTTTTTTCTTAAAACTTTTAAGTTTTAAAGTTCATTGACTTGTGACCTTGTTTTTCAGGGCCCCTCCAGCGTGTCTTCTGCCAAACTCTCATTATGAGCAGGTCATGATTGCATTTGGAGGCAAAGGGTATTTTGTACAAACACCAGAAGAACTGCAAAAATCCTTGAGGCAATCCCTAGCAGACACAACTAAACCCTCTCTTATCAACATCATGATTGAGCCACAAGCCACACGGAAGGCCCAGGTAAATGCAGTTGCTAAACAGAAAGCAGGAAATGCATCTATTCCTCCACCCCCTCCAAAGAGTATCCACCAAACAGAGCACGCTCTATTCACAGAGGTCTTTCTAAGCCATTTCTGAGTTTGGCAGTTTTACTTTTTTGTTTAACGAATATTTGTTGAGATAATGTGTAAGGCATGTTGTCTTAGGTGCAAAGAATAGCATGGTGAAGCAGAACTAGGCTCAGTCCTCACCTTCACGGAGCTTGCAGTCCAGTAAGGTAGAGAGACAGTGCGGTAACCTCACAGCTGAGCACACCATGACAGAGCGAGGCAGTTGTTTGTTTGGAAAGAAAGGAACCCAGTTCTAAGCAAACATATAACAAAGGAATCTGATGGTATTGGAAGGCTTCTCAGAGGAAGTGAAGCTTAAACTGAGATTGGAGAGATGAGGAGGGACTAACTCGGTAAAGAGAAGAAGGAAGAGATGTGCAAAGGCTCTGAGGCAAGAGGGAGCATGTCAAGTCTGAGGAGTGACAAAGGCCAGAGTGGCTGGACAACAGAATGGAGGAAGTAACATGGGAGATTAGACTATATTCAGACAATTCGTGCTGTTGCATTCAAAATTAATGACTTTAACCTCTAAGGCAAAACTATAGTGTAGGTTACAGCAGTGAAATACATGGCTAAGTGTGTAGCCTGATCCTCTCCCATCCCACATTAAGTTGCTTTTCATACTTAATTTTGTTTCCTGGTCCTGATCCTGTCACTTGCTTCCTCTTATAACCTGTCTTGCATGCTTACACCTTGCATATCAGCCACTCTACAGAGCCAGTATTTTTCAGGTACTTTCCGTCTTGGTTTTTACACGTGTCCACTGTGGGATTTCTTCCTTTTTTGAACAAGGCTGGGGACAAATGGGCAAACAGATACCTGGACGATCAATGAAATATAAATTAACTAATTTGGAAGCTGTAAAATATATAAAATTTTACTGAAATTCTGTTTGTGTAGAAACAGATTATTAGAGACTCTGGCATTTACCTCAGGCAGAGAGAAGAGGTACTCAAGAAGCTAGTGATGAGGAAGATAAGCACAGGACTGTGCCAGGAGGGTGACCAGCAGGGTCAGCGGGATTTCCTAGGAGCAGGCAGGCAGGCTGTCCTGCTAACAACTTTCAGAAGCTACTCTACCCCTGTGGGCTTACTGATTGCCTTTTCTTTTTTTAAATGCTATTTGTCAAAACGATTTATACCAACCAGATACCCAATAGACAGGTTTTTAAATCTTACACTGTTTTATTAACTTATGATTGGATATATACTTTCCAGGGACTGGAATACAGTAGTTTTGCAACCCAGGATGGCCCCCTCCTGGTGTCAGGCCATGAGAGTACTAGGGGAACTAAAGCCACTATGACAAGCTTGGTGAACACTTACAATAAAAATAATCTTTAACTATGTTAATTACAGAGCGCCCTAATAAATTGTCCCCTCTCTGCTTCTAATGATCTCTGTTTAACAATTTCCCTATGAATTTGGGTATTGTTTGTTTGGGTATTCCTGGAGAAATAGAAGCTCTTATCCTCTTCTATTATAATTCTGTGAGGATTATCCTTATATTTCCTGGATTTATCACTTCAACATTATTTATCTTCATTCCAGTGGAATTCTACATATATTATAGTCTCTAAATTGTTGATCTTTGTCTTGTCTATCCATCTGCCATTTGTCATTGATTCTCAGGCTGGCTGCTTTCTGCTTTGACACAGAGAATGCCTAGATCTGTGCAGTAGTCTGTCCAGACCATGTGTGTAGGATGGTGTCAGTCCTAGAAAAGTCTGTCATGCACAGTTCTTCCTACCCATGTTCTTCTCTGGGAGCTTAGCCTCTGTGGGCCTCCTTCACCTCTTCTCTCCTTTTGAGTGCACTTCTGGTTCTTTCACGGTATGGTTTTTTTGTACCCTGATTACTATTAATAGAAGAAGACCCAGAATGCCATTTTAGATTGTTTTGTAGGACATGACAGCCAGGTTTGCTAATGGATTTTTAGCTCCTTTTTGGGAAAAGCACTAGAGCAAAAACAAACCTCATTTACCCACCATTATGTAGGACTTTTAAATTTTAGAACAAGCAAAACAGTGAGGATAGAGTTTGAGACAGTTATTTCTTTTGACTGAATGTTTGTTGTCTTCCTTTTCTAGGATTTTCACTGGCTGACGCGCTCTAAAATGTAAATAAAGATACCAATGGGTGGACTTGAGTTTTCTCTTTCCTGCAAAATGAAATTTTATTTTCTGCAGCAAAATTACTATAATGTTAAAATTGTACAAGAAAAATAAAAAACATTTTAAATGATATTTTATAGTAAAGGAATTGATTAAAAACAGAAAAAGTTACCAGTATTCTACTACAGAAATAACCATTTACAGATGAAAGAAAAGAGTTTTATTAAATATTTAATAATAGCATTGCAACTCCCCAACCACTGAGTTACACATCAGTATACTTTTATGTAAATTCATTCTTAAAGTTACTGCTACAGTTTGAATGTTTGTCCTCCAAAACCTGATGTTGAAATTTGATCCCCAGTTTTGGAGATGGAGCCTAATGGAAGTTGTTTGGGTCATGGGGGTGGATCCCTCATGAATGGCTTGGTGCTGTCCTTGTGGTAAAGACTGAATTCTTACTCAGTTTCCATGAGAGCTGGTAGAGCTGGTTGTTAAAAAGAGCCTGGCACCTCTCCACTCCCTTTCTTGCATCTTCTCACGCCATGTGATCTTTGCACACACCAGCTCCTCTTCATCTTTTGCCTTGAGTGGAAGCATCCTGAGCCCCTCGAGCAATCTAGCACCTTCCAGCCAGCAAAGCCATGAGCTAAATAAACCTCTTCTTTATAAATTACCCAGCCTTAGGTATTCCCTTACAGCAACAGTGAACAGACTATGACAGTTACCTGTCTTAGTAAAAACATCTTCCAAAGAAAAAACTGTAAGACTTGTCTAATGTAGAGACATGTTCAGGAAGTTGGGGTACATAGGCTCTTTCTAGTTCATATTTTATCTTTTGACCACTTCATACCTTAGTCTCCTCAGCATTTAGGTGGGTCTTGTCCTATACTTAATGGGTCTTTTTTTTTCCTGGAAAGATTTTACTAAGCCAAAGAAGTAACACTACATCCAAACTAATAATTACAGGATATATTTGGATTAACAGCCTTAGTTTATGCATAACAACCAGCTCTCATGGAAACTAATTGAGTAAGAATTCACTCTTTACCACAAGGACAGCACCAAGCCATTCATGAGGGATCCACCCCCATGACCCAAAAGAGTTAGCTGTACTATCTAAAGAACTCTTATAACTAAGAAAAATATTAATGTACCAGTAAAATATAGGCACAGGGCATGCACGTATAACTCACATAAAAAATACAAATGGCTAATAAAAGTATGAGTATATCCCAACACTTTGGAAGGCCAAGACAGGAGGATTGCTTAGGGCCAGGAGTTTGAGACCTGCCTGGACAACATAGCAAGGTCCCCATCTCTACAAACAATTAAAAAATTAAAAGTATGAGTATAAATAAATATGAATGTGTAAGTTATATTGAAAATTCTTTTTTTGTCTATCCACTTACAAAGTGCTTATTAAATTATTCTGAATTTTGGTGAAGTGAAAGTGAAGTGAAAATGGGGACTCCTATGCTGCTGGTTGGAGTTGAAATTGGTACAACATTTCTGTAACTCTAGCATTGCTTGTATTTGGAATCTTAAAAATGTTCATACCCCATAACTTTTGACACAGTGAGCCCATTTAGGGAATGTAAACTCAAGAGATAATAAAATATTTGGTCAGATATTTATATAAAAGGCCATTCAGCATAGTTTAGGAATAATGGCAATGTTTTATATTAGGATATTGGTTACATAAATTTGTGGTCTGACATCATAAGATAAAAATTTTGTGCAGTAATATTTATTAATGGAGAAATAATCACAATATAATATTATATGAAAAGAGCAGGCCACAATATGGAATGGGGCCAAATAAGGAAATATACCCATTTCTCATGCACACATGCATACGTAGAGAAAAAAGATAGGCACAAAATTAACCAATATTTTAAAACAACTTGGTGATAGGATTATAGGTTATTTTTATGTCTTCGTTTTTTCCTTCTACAAGATTTTTTTTTATTTCAGCATATTATGGGGGTACAAATGTTTAGGTTACGTATCTTGCCTTTGCCCCACCCTCGAGTCAGAGCTTTAAGCATGTCCATCCCTCAGACAGTGTACATTGCAGTCATTATGTATGTATATACATACGCACACCTCCCTCCCATCTGCCCAACACCCGATAGATGTTATTCCTATATGTGCACTTAGGTGTTGATCAGTTAAAACCAATTTGATAGTGAATACACATGGTGCTTATTTTTCTATTCTTGGGATACTTCACTTAGGAGAATGGGTTCCAGCTCTATCCAGGAAAATATAAGAGGTCCTATATTAGCATTCTTTCTTATAGCTGAATAGTACTCCATGGTATACATATACCACTCCTTCTGCAAGATTTTAAAAATAATTATGTAATTTAATTTTCAGAAACAGATATATATATTTTTATTTTATTTCGGCATATTATGGGGGAACAGATTTTAAGGTTTCAATAAATGCCCTCCCCCCCCACAGTCTGGTTCCAGCAGACCATCCCAGATGATGCACATCTCACTCCTTATGTATATACATACCCACCCCCTCCACCTGCCCAATACCCTATTACTGTAGTACCTATGTGTCCACTTAGGTGCTACTCAGTTAATACCAGTTTGCTGGAGAATATATCAGGTGCTTGTTTTTCCATTCTTGGGATACTTCACTTAGTAGTATGGTTCCAGCTCTAACCAGGAAAATATAGATGTCTATATCACCATTGTTTCTTAGACTGAATATACTCCATGGTATACATATACCACATTTTATTATCCATTCTTGTATTGATGGGCACTGGCTGTTTCACA